GGGAATTCAGGGATCGGGGATGCCGGGGAATGCAGGAATTAGGGAAAACGGGGAATTCAGGGGTCGGGGATGCCGGGGAATGCAGGAATTAGGGAAAACGGGGAATTCAGGGATCGGGGATGCCGGGGAATGCAGGAATTAGGGAAAACGGGGAATTCGGGGGTCGGGGATGCCGGGGAATGCAGGAATTAGGGAAAACGGGGAATTCAGGGGTCGGGGATGCCGGGGAATGCAGGAATTAGGGAAAACGGGGAATTCAGGGATCGGGGATGCCGGGGAATGCAGGAATTAAGGAAAACAGGGAATTCAGGGATCGGGGATGCCGGGGAATGCAGGAATTAAGGAAAACGGGGAATTCAGGGGTCGGGGATGCCGGGGAATGCAGGAATTAGGGAAAACGGGGAATTCAGGGATCGGGGATGCCGGGGAATGCAGGAATTAAGGAAAACGGGGAATTCAGGGGTCGGGGATGCCGGGGAATGCAGGAATTAGGGAAAACGGGGAATTCAGGGGTCGGGGATGCCGGGGAATGCAGGAATTAGGGAAAACGGGGAATTCAGGGGTCGGGGGTGCCGGGGAATGCAGGAATTAGGGAAAACGGGGAATTCAGGGGTCGGGGATGCCGGGGAGGAGCGCGGGACACGCGGCAGGGGCTCCTCACTTGTACAGGCTCCTTCCCCCGATGGTCTCCAGGTTGGAGAAGACGCTGAAGTTGTGCATGTGCTTGGGCCAGGACTGGATGTTCAGGTACCCTGCGGGCACACCGCGGGCTCAGGGGGGTCCCGGGGGTCTCGGGGGGGGGGCTCCAGGGGAGTCCCAGCAGCCCCAGCCCCCCTCCTCACCCGTGATCTCCCGCACCGTCCGGAACACGTTCAGCTTCTCCGGGTCCAGCGCCGAGATGTTGCGCCAGGGGTCCCTGCGGGGCCAGAGCGGTCAGCAGGGCTGGGGCGGGGGGCTGCACCCCCAAAGCCCCCTCCCCGAGCCCCCCCAAATGCCACCCCTCACCCCTCGAGGCCCGTGATGAGGAAGTCGAGGTTGCCCAGGATCTTGGTGCAGTTGATGAAGGTGTCGATGTTGCTGGAGTCCACGGTCTGGTATTTGCTGCCGGCGCCGGTGCCCTCGCAGGCTGTGGGGCACGGGCAGGGGGTCAGGGGGGTCCCACAGCCCCCAGACCCCCTCCTGGGGACCCCCAACCCCTACCCTTGGGGCACAGCCCCGCGCAGGGCTCGCAGATCTTCAGCCCGTTCTTCTCCACCTCCATCTTGTCGTTGGGGCAGGCGCGCACGCACGAGCTCTGGTCCACCACGAAGTTGTCTGGGGGACAGCCTGGGGGTCACCCGGTGTCCCCCCGAGCCCGGGTCACCCCCCCGGAGCCCCCCGGAGCCCCCCAGAGCCCGACTCACGGGGGCACTCCCGCACGCAGACCCCCCCGTACTGGTACTTGGTGTCGGGGTTGGGCTCCAGCTGGAAGGTCAGCTTGTTGTAGATCAGGGGCTGCGGGCACAGCGGCACGCACGCGCCGCTGTCGTTGAAGTGCCGGCAGGCCTGGGGACGGACAGACGGACAGATGGGCACGGGGACCGACAGGCGGACATGGGGATGGACAGATGGACAGAGGATGGACACAGGGATGGACACGGGGATGGACAGATGGACATGGGGATGGACACGGGGATGGACACAGTGGCACGCACGCGCTGCTGTCGTTGAAGTGCCGGCAGGCCTGGGGACGGACACCCGAGCCCCCCGGTACCCCCGGTACCCACGTTTCTGGCAGTCCTCGGGGCCCGGCCCCCAGCAGTGGCCGCCGCAGCTCTCGTGGCATGGGGCACCTGGGGACAGCACGGCGGGGTCACAACATGGGGACCCCAAAACAGGGGGACACCAACACCAGGGGCGACCCCAAAGGAACCCTAAAAATGGGTCACTCCAAACCCAGGGGTGACCTCAAACCCAGGGGTCACCCCCAAAGTGACCCTAAACTCAGGGGTGACCCAAAAACCAGGGATGGCTCAAAGTGACCACAAACCAAAGGGTGACCCCAAAGCCACCCCAAAGTGACCCCAAACCCAGGGGTGACCCCGCAGCCCCCATCCCCAGGGGTGACCCCAAAGTGACCCCAAACCCAGGGGTGACCCCGCAGCCCCCAGCCCCAGGGGTGTCCCCAAAGTGACCCCAGCCCCAGGGGTGACCCCGCAGCCCCCAGCCCCAGGGGTGTCCCCAAAGTGACCCCGGCCCCAGGGGTGCCCCGGCACGCACAGCCCCGGCCGTTGTCCCTCACGAGCGGCTCCAGGCGCGTGTCCCTCATGATGTCCCTCCACTCCACGGTGTCCACGTGGCACAGCTGCGCGTTCTTCTCGATGTACACGCCCCCCGCCAGGATCTCTGCGGGGACACGGGGGACAGGGGGTGACAGGGGGTGACAAGGAGGCACAGACCCCCCCCCAGACCTGTCTGGAAGTGCTGGGAGGGGATGGGGACCTTGGGGACCATCCCTGCTCCAAGGGACAGCACAGGGGACAGCGGGTGGCACTGCCATGGGATGGGGACCTCGCAGGGCACAGAGCGGAGGCAGCGTTCCCAACCCCAGAGTGTCCCCTCTCTGTGCCAGTCCCGTGGCTGTCCCCAGCCCCCCACAGTGTCCCCAACCCTCCATGATGTTCCCAGACCCCACAATGTCCCCAGCCCTATGTGGTGTCCCCAACCCCCTGTGATGTCCCCAACCCCCTGCCATGTCCCCAGCCCTCGTGGTGTCCCCATCTCCCCACAATGTCCCCAACTCCACGGGGCGGACAGACGGACGGACAGACAGAGGGACGTACGAAGCAGTGCGTGCGCAGGGGCCCGGTGCAGCCGCCCGCGCACTCCTCGTGGCAGCACTCGTTGGGCGCGCGGCCGAAGCAGCGCCCGTTGCACTGCGGGGCACAGATGGTCTTGGTCACTGCGGGGACACCGGGGGTCACCGGGGGTCACCGGGGGTCACCGGGGGGGTCCGGCCCACCCCCACACCCCCCCGAGCCCCCCGGTACCCCCGGTACCCACGTTTCTGGCAGTCCTCGGGGCCCGGCCCCCAGCAGTGGCCGCCGCAGCTCTCGTGGCATGGGGCACCTGGGGACAGCACGGCGGGGTCACAACATGGGGACCCCAAAACAGGGGGACACCAACCCCAGGGGTGACCTCAAACCCAGGGGTCACCCCCAAAGTGACCCTAAACTCAGGGGTGACCCAAAAACCAGGGATGGCTCAAAGTGACCACAAACCAAAGGGTGACCCCAAAGCCACCCCAAAGTGACCCCAAACCCAGGGGTGACCCCGCAGCCCCCAGCCCCAGGGGTGACCCCAAAGTGACCCCAAACCCAGGGGTGACCCCGCAGCCCCCAGCCCCAGGGGTGACCCCAAAGTGACCCCAAACCCAGGGGTGACCCCGCAGCCCCCAGCCCCAGGTGTGACCCCAAAGTGACCCCAGCCCCAGGGGTGCCCCGGCACGCACAGCCCCGGCCGTTGTCCCTCACGAGCGGCTCCAGGCGCGTGTCCCTCATGATGTCCCTCCACTCCACGGTGTCCACGTGGCACAGCTGCGCGTTCTTCTCGATGTACACGCCCCCCGCCAGGATCTCTGCGGGGACACGGGGGACAGGGGGTGACAGGGGGTGACAAGGAGGCACAGACCCCCCCCCAGACCTGTCTGGAAGTGCTGGGAGGGGATGGGGACCTTGGGGACCATCCCTGCTCCAAGGGACAGCACAGGGGACAGCGGGTGGCACTGCCATGGGATGGGGACCTCGCAGGGCACAGAGCGGAGGCAGCGTTCCCAACCCCAGAGTGTCCCCTCTCTGTGCCAGTCCCGTGGCTGTCCCCAGCCCCCTGCAGTGTCCCCAACCCTCCATGGTGTCCCCATCTCCCCATGATGTCCCCAACTCCACGGTGTCCTCAACCTCACAATGTCCCCAACCCTCCATGACATTCCCAACCACAGTGTCCCCAACCCTCCATGATGTTCCCAGACCCCACAATGTCCCCAGCCCTATGTGGTGTCCCCAACCCCCTGTGATGTCCCCAACCCCCTGCCATGTCCCCAGCCCTCGTGGTGTCCCCATCTCCCCACAATGTCCCCAACTCCACGGTGTCCTCAACCTCACAATGTCCCCAACCCTCCATGACATTCCCAACCCCCTGCGATGTCCCCAACCCCCTGCGATGTCCCCAACCCCTTGCAATGTCCCCAGCCCTCGTGGTGTCCCCATCTCCCCACAATGTCCCCAACCCTCCATGATGTCCCCAACCATCCACAATGTCCCCAACCCTCCATGATGTCCCCATCTCCCCACAACGTCCCCAACCCACCATGGTGTCCCCATCTCCCCACAATGTCCCCAACCCTCCACGATGTCCCCAACACACCATGGTGTCCCCAACCCCACGGTGTCCTCATCTCCCCACAGTGTCCCCAACCCCACAACGTCCCCTGCCCGCGGTGTCCCCGCGGTGTCCCACCGGTGAGCTGGTTGAGGCCGAGCTGGCGCAGGGCGTGCGTGGTGTTGGGGTTGTAGTTGAGCAGCACGAAGAGCGCGAAGCGATCCTCGTAGAACTGCGTGCCGCGGATCACGCGCAGGTTCTGCAGCGGCAGCGCCGCGAACACGTTCATGGCGATCAGGATGTAGCCGGTCACCTCCCGGATGGTCTGCGGGGGGCTCGGGGTCACCTGCTGGCCTTGGCCGTGCTCCCCGTGCTGGCTCCGAACCTCCAAACTGGCCACGTCCTCCCACTGATGGCCACTGTTCCCCTTGATGGCCACATGGACAATTGACCACCAAACTGGCCATGTCCTCCCCTTGATGGCCACTGTTCCCCTTGATGGCCACATGGACAATTGACCACCAAACTGGCCATGTCCTCCCCTTGATGGCCACAGTCCCCATGGTGGCTGTGCCACCTCCAAACTGGCCCTTGATGGCCACTGTCCCCATGGTGGCTGTGTCACCAAACTGGCCATGTCCTCCCCTTGATGGCCACAGTCCCCATGGTGGCTGTGTCACCAAACCGGCCATGTCCTCCTTTTGATGGCCATTGTCCTCCTTGATGGCCACATGGACAATTGACCACCAAACTGGCCGTGTCCTCTCCTTGATGGCCACTGTCCCCATGGTGGCTGTGTCACCAAACTGGCCATGTCCTCCTTTTGATGGCTACTGTCCTCCTTGATGGCCACATGGACAATTGACCACCAAACTGGCCATGTCCTCCTTTTGACGGCCACTGTCCCCATGGTGGCTCTGAACCTTCAAACCGGCCATGTCTTCCTTTTGATGGCCACTGTTCCCCTTGATGCCCGTGGTCCCCATGGTGGCTGTGTCACCTCCAAACTGGCCCTTGATGGCCACTGTCCCCATGGTGGCTGTGTCACCAAACTGGCCATGTCCTCCCATTGATGGCCACAGTCCCCCTTGATGGCCACATGGACAATTGACCACCAAACTGGCCATGTCCTTCTCTTGATGGCCACTGCCCCCATGGTGGACACGTGACCTCCAAACTGGCCGTGTCCTCCCCTGGCTGACAGCAGCAATGTCCACTTTGAGGTCCCCGTCCCCTCGGAGCTGGCCATGTCCCCCCTCAGTGTCCACCCCCGCGTGTCCCCGGGGTCACCTGGAGGAAGGAGAGGTCCTGGGTGTGGTCGATGAGGACGATCTCCAGGTTGCCCATGACGATCTCACAGTTGTTGTACATCTTGTGCAGGGTCTGGTACTGGTGCTGCGCGTCCCCCGTCACGCTCAGCCCGTTCAGCGTCCCCGCGCACACTGCGGGCACCCGCCGCGTCACCGGGGCCGCCGCGGGGCCACCGCGGCCACCATGGCACCCCCTGCACGGTCACAGCAATGTCCCCTCCCAGCTGGCCGTGTCCTGCTCGTGGTGGTCACGGTCATGGTGGTTGTGTCACCGCCTCAGTGTCATGTCAGCCCCTTGATGTCCCTTGGTGTCCCTTGGTGTCCCCACCCCCTCTGAGCTGGATGTGTCCTGCTCTTGGTGGCCATGGTCCCCATGGTGGCCCTGTCCCCTCCATGTGGTCCCTGTCCCCTCCATGGTGGCCCTGTCCTCTCCATGGTGGCCCTGTCCCCTCCATGTCATCCCTGTCCCCTCCATGGTGGCCGTGTCTCCTCCATGATGTCCTGGCTATAGCAGTGTCCCCATGGGGTCCCTGTCCCCTCCAAGGTGTCCCCTGCAAACATCCCTGTCCCCTCCATAGCGTCCCCCTCAAGGTGTCCCCTCCACGGTGTCCTTGTCCCCTCTATGGTATCTTGCCCATGGTGTCCCTGTCCCCTCCATGTCCTTGTCCCCTCCATGGCGTCCCCCTCAGGGTGCCCGTGTCCCCTCCATGTCCTTGTCCCCTCCATGGCATCCCCCCTACAGTGTCCCCATGGGGTCCCTGTCCCCTCCAAGGTGTCCCCCTCACGGTGCCCGTGTCCCCTCCATGTCCTTGTCCCCCTCCATGTCGTTCCCCTCAAGGTGTCCCCTCCTCGATGTCCCTGTCCCCTCCCTCTGCCGTCCTTGTCCCCCCAGCCCCCTCCCCAGCGCTGTCCCCGCCCCGGGTCCTCCCCCGCCGCTCCCGCCCGGTCCCTCCCCGCTCCCGGCGCGCTCCCGGTGCCCGAACCGGCCGGGCGAGCCTTGCGCAAGGCGGGCGCCTCGGGCACGGCCGGGGGGCACCGGGAGGGGCTCGCAGCGACCTCCTGCCCTCGGCCCCGGCGGCGGCACAAAGGGGGCTGTGTGCGCCGGGCCCCGAACAAAGGGGGCTCTCAGAGACGGGGCTTTGGGGGCTGCGGGGCTGGGGCCGCTCCCCTCGGTGTCCCCTCGGTGTCCCCGTGGTGTCCCCGTGGTGTCCCCGAGCCCCCCGAGATGTCCCCGAGCCCCTCGAGATGTCCCCGAGCTGTTCCCTCTCTCGCCGTGGGACCCGGAGCCCGTGGGTGGCACCCGAGGCATCGCCGGTGGCACATGGAGCGGGGGACACAGCCAGGGGTCCCCCGGGTGTGCCCCCCACCCCGGGCACCCCCGGGCACCGCCGGGCACCGCCGGGGTTTTGGGGTGACGCCGGCCCCACCTTGCGCGTCCAGCCCTCGGTGTTTTTCCTTTCGGGATTAAAAAACAACTCCCGGGCGGCCGCGGCCCTTCCGGGGTGCCGGGGGTGCAGGGCGGGCACGGCCGGGGGCCCCTCCGGGGGTCCCCCCTGAAGGATCCCCCCTCCCCGTCCCCCTCGGGGGTCCCGCCCGGATCCCAAAGGCATCGCCGGGCCCGGCCCCGCAGCCTAAAATTAGCCCGGGGCAGCTGCGGGGCCGCAGGTGCCGAGCCCGGGAGGGGCACCGAGAGCGGAACCGAGCCTGGAAAGGGGCACCGAGAGCGGGACCGAGCCCGGAAAGGGGCACCGAGAGCGGGACCGAGCCCGGGAGGGGCACCGAGAGCGGAACCGAGCCTGGAAAGGGGCACCGAGAGCGGGACCGAGCCCGGGAGGGGCACCGAACCCCGAGAGCGGGCACCGAGCCCTCGGACCGATCCCGGGAAGCGCCACCGAGCCCGGAACCGAGCCCCAGAACGGAGCACCAAGCCCCGGCAGCGGCCACCGAGCCCCGGCCCCGCCGGAGCCGCAGTCCCGGGGAGGTTTCAGTGCCGGTGCCCCGAAGCCGTGCGGTCCCCCCGGGGGATCCCGGGACGCCCCCGCGGGGGAAGCGGCCGCGGGAATTGCCGGGATCGGGTCGCGGTCCGGTACCGGCGGAATCGGGACAGCAGCACCGCCGCGACCCCCGAGCGCTCCCGCTCCCGCCGCCCATCCCGGGACCCCCGGGCGCGCCGGTGTTTCCCCGGTTCCCCTTTGCGGCGCAGCCCCGGTTCCCCGTGCCCCGCCGGTGCCGGTGCCGGTGCTCACCTGCCTGCGCGGAGCCGGGCGCGGCGGCGCGGAGCAGCAGCGGCAGCAGCAGCAGCAGCGCCCGGAGCCGCTCCCGGTGCCGGTGCGGCTCCATCGCGGCGCCCCGGTAGCGGCGGAGCGTGCCCGGGAATGCACCTGGCGCGGGGCCGCGGGCCGGGCGGGGCCGGGCCGGGCGGGGCAGCGCCGGGGACGGGGGGGGGACACCCCGCTTCCCTGCCGGTCCCCCCAATCAACCCTGGGACCCCCCCAGACCCCTTGGAGACCCCCCCAAACTCCTCCAGGGTCCGCCCAAACCCAGGGCAAGGTTTAAGTGGGGTGGGGGGGTGCAGTCCCAAACCCCCCAGACTCCTAAACACCCCTGGGACCCCCCAAACCCCTCGGGGATCCCCCCAGACCCACAGCAGGGTGGAAGCAGGGCAGGGGGGGGTGTGGTCCAGAACCCTTCTAAACTCCCCTGGGACCCCCCCAAACCCCTCGGGGACCCCTCAGGGACCCCCCAAACCCCTCTGGAACTCCCCCAAACCCCTCGGGGACGCCCCCAGACTCACGGCGGGGCGGAAGCGGGGCGGGGGGGTGCGATCCTTGCAAGGATCCTTCTCAGGATCCCCCCGTAACCCCCTGAGGACCCCTCCAGGAACCCCCAAACCCCTCTGGGACTCCCCCAAACCCCTCAGGGACCCCCCAGACCCCTCGGGGACGCCCCCAGACTCACGGCGGGGCGGAAGCGGGGCGGGGGGGTGCGGTCCTTGCGCGCCTCGCGGGAGCGGTTCCGAACCACCTTGCTGTGGATGGCGCAGCTGACGCAGTAATGCAGCTTCACGTACAGCTTGGGCAGCACGTAGGCTGGGGGGAAATGGGGGTCAGGGACCCCAAAAACACACCCAGGGACCCCAAAAACACACCCAGGGACCCCAAAAACCACACCCAGGGACCCCAAAAACCCCAAAGAATACATCCAGGGACCCCAGAAACCCCCAGGGACCCCAAAAGCAGCCCCAGGGCAGTGATGCAGCTTCATGCGCAGCTTGGGCAGCACGTAGGCTGGGGGGGAAATGGGGGGTCAGGGACCTCAAAAACTCCCCAAAACACATCCAGGGACCCCAAAAACCCCCAAAAATACACCCAGGGACCCCAAAACCCCCAGAAAACACATCCAGGGACCCCAAAAAACACATCCAGGGACCCCAAAAACCCCAAAACCAGCCCCAGGGCAGTGATGCAGCTCCATGCACAGCTTGGGCAGCACATAGGCTGGGGAGGGAAATGGGGGGTCAGGGACTCCAAAAACCCCCCAAAAACACATCCAGGGACCCCAAAAACCCCAAAGAACACACCCAGGGACCCCAAAAAACACCCCCAGGGCAGCACTGCAGCTTCATGCACAGCTTGCTCTCTCAGGGGTGGGCAAGGTGGACAATTCTGGGGGGACAATTTTGGGGGGACAATGGGGCTGGTTTTGGGGGTGACAAGGTGAGCAGGGTCAGATCTCTTGGGGGGTCAAAGGGCGCTATTTTGGGGTGACAGAGGCGCTGATTTGGGGTAAAATGGGGCTGTTTGGAAGGGATGGGAACAATTTTTCGGGGTGAGCAGGGTGGGATATTTTGGGGTGCCAAAGGGACGATTTTTGGGGTGCCAAAGTGAGCAGGGTCGGATCTTTTGGGGGATCAAAGGGGGCTATTTTGGGGTGACAGAGGCAATACTTTGGGGTGACAAAGGCGCTGTTTTGGGGGTGACAGAGGCGCTGTTTTGGGGGTGACAGAAGCATTATTTGTGGGGCAAAACAGGAGCTATTTTATGATGAAAACGGGGCTATTTGGAAGGGACAGGGCTGATTTTTTGGGGTGAGCAGCGTGAGGTATTTAAGGTGACAAAGGGACGATTTCTGAAGTGACCAAAGGACCCTTTCCAGGACCAGCCAGGGGCTGTTTTGGGGGTGATGGAGGCACATTTTGGGGGGCAATGGGGTTATTTGGGGGGCAGAGGAACAATTTTTTGGGGTGAGCAGCGTGAGGTATTTAAGGTGACAAAGGGCACTATCTGTGAAGCCACCCAAGCACTCTTTCCAGGGCCGCTTTCGGGGTGCCCAGGCCCCCCCAGGGGCACTCACAGTCGAACACGCTGGCCTCGGAGATGTCCCTGACGGCAGCGGCCTCCACGATGTTCCTGATGACGAATTTCTTGATGGCCTTGTCCTTGGGCACGCAGCGGGCGCAGTTGGTGCAGCGGATGGGCTGCACGTGCCCGCGGCCCTTCTTGGCACGCCCGTTGTTCCTCCTCTTCTTGGTCTGGGGGGGACGGGGTGAGCCCAGGATTGAGCCCAGGATCAGCCCCAGAGATCAATTCCAGAGAGCCCAGGGGGGACAGGGTGAGCCCGGGTGTCCCCATTTCTGGCTGTCCCCAGTGTCCCCAATGTCTCCTGTCCCCATTCCGGGGTGTCCCCAGTGTCCCCTGTCCCCA